TAGCCAGGCCAGTCTCCTTCCCCACTGACTCGTTTTTAGCACACAGGGAAAGCCGGCTCCTGTGCCTTTAAGACTTTGCTCTTGAAGTATGTCCAGCCTTCCTGGCCTCCTATATCCTCCAGGACAGCCTCTCAAGGGATTTTGTCAGTCTCCTGAACAGGTCAAAGTTGGCCCTCCAGAAGTCTAAGGTGGCAGTTTACTAACCCGCTGCTCTCTGTGCTCACACACAAGTGCCCCACCTAGAATTTAATTTTGTTTCCTTGACTTTGGGAGCAGCGTACAGCTGGAAAAATGTTTTGAGAAAGACAGTTCCCTATGGTACTCCATACCTGCCCCAGAAAGTGCCAGGCAGTTGTGTTGCTGATTGCAGCACGTAGTTATTTTCAGGCTGACATGAACATGGATTAGTTCAGTTCTGTGTGCCAGCGAAAGCACACTTTTGAAATAGACTTCATAGAAATAGATCTCCCTGCATCTATATCCTTTTCTCTCTTTTTTCCCCTTCTCCCTTTATTTTTATTGTAGTGTTTTCCATTCATGGGCTACTGCAGAGCCTTAAAGTCCTCCTGAGCTAGTCGTAGGCAAAAGAACTTTGACTGTTGTGTCAAACATGATACGTGAGTGGAAGCCAAGTTGAAGGAGTGTTTAAATGTTCACATTATAACAGGTACTATAACTCAGTGCACTTGGGAAATCCACATAACCTTTTATTGTGGTTAAGTAAACACTTTTAAGGGAATATATACATTCTCTCATCTAGCTTCATGCCCACAGTGTGTTAAAATAAATCTTGGACAGACAGATACTCTTTGAAAAAATAACAGCTTCATTCACACACTTCAAAGAAGTGATTATATAAGCACTAGATAAATTTGCCACAGACCTTTTAATGAAATTGAATTACATAAGGTAGGGCAAGGGTTCATTGTGAGGTATAATAGCAATATACCTTAGTACCTTGTAAAGCATGGAAACCAAACATGACATTTTTCATCTCTCTTGAAGCCTATTGTAACAGTATGGCAAACTAAAGATATCTGCCAAGAGCTCTTTGCACATTCTTCCACAGAACCTTTTTTAAATTTGGGTCTGCAGGTCTGAGGGTTTAAGTTCAAAATCATTCCAGTTTTGTGACAAAATGTGTAATACACTTGCTACTCAGTGTGTTGCCCTTTTCTCTGTGTTATAGCTACAGCTTGTACTGGGAAATGGATGCAATCCTCTGCTGCTGCCAGGAGGCAGGAGGTAATAGAGAAGCACCACGCCATGCAGGCATCTCCCACTGGTCAGTGGGCTTGCTGGAAGAGTCATCAGTGACCAGCTTCCATTTTCCGTTCCTCGCTACGAGGGGCTGAGAAACTATTGCATTAGGGTGCATAAGTTTAGCTTCTTGAAATTCGCTCTGCCAAGCGTGTTAGTCTCTGTAGAAATTATTAGCAGAACTAGCATTTCTCTCATTGTGCTTTAGGCATTTTATCCTCATTCAGACAGTTCACTTATTAAATATTTGAAAACGTTAACAGGAGTAAGAAGTACTCCATTACTACCCTGTCCTTGATTAATGGAGATAGACATGTCCACCCTCTAAATGACTCAGCCTAGAGCTATTAGCTGATCAGAAGAGCTTAAATCATTTCTAATTTCTCACCGTGAATCTCTCCCCTGGAAGTTTTGCCTCTTTTCCTCGGCTGCCTTCTCAGCTTTCTCCAAGGAATGCTCTTGCAGTGTGGGAGGCAGGCTGGTGTCCTATCAGTAACTTTATTGAAGTTATTACACACTCCTTGCTTTTAAAAATCAGATTGTTTATTTAGGAGCCTATGCTAACCTGATAGTGATGGAATGAAGTGCCCCAGCTTGGCATTAGCTGTAAATGCAAGCAGAGAAAAGGCTTCAGTGTGTTTAGGTGACCTTTCACACCAAGAACCCCTTCCTTATGAGTGCCAGTATATGGATATGGTCGGCAAAAGAAATGTTTGAAGAAACCTGGAATGAAATTGCTTCCCAAAGATCTGTTTCTGAGACAGTGCTAGTTAACACTTCTACTAGGGAGATGCAGTTTCTAAATTCTGTTTATTTCTTACGTGTACAAACAGAATTGAAAGGTATTACCTTGCCTTCATAGGCTGAAGTTCTCCTTGATGACCTCTAGAAGCTCTTTACATAGTTGGTAGAAGGGAAGAAAGATATTTCTCTAGAGAGTGATTCAGATCAGCAACATACTTTAGCTTTATTTTATATTATTTAGGAACTGCTAGCAATAACTATATCAAGTAGTAACAGTGCACTGGGGTTTTTTTCCTCTTACTTCTTGATTTAGCTCAAAAACAGTTGGTTTAAAGGTCTTTGCTCCTCTGTTCAGGGCTTCTATTTCAGTCATCTCAGTAGTCATATTATCATAGGGTTTTCTTGTTCTTTTTTTTTCTTTTTTTTTGTTAGCAGAGAGACTACCTCTGTGAATTAGACGTTATTTCTGTTCCTTAGTGGTGGTAGGTTTGGAGAGAAGCAATTCAGACAAAAAACATCATGTTCAGTATAGACTGTCTTTCCTGAAATAAAAGAAATTACATTGCTTTTCACTGAAGTAAAAAATTTATTATTTTTTTCCACTAAACCAAGCCTATTTTTCTTCAGTTTTAGCTGCCTCTTTTAAGTCCAGTTATTCTTGGCTACGCAGCTAAGGTGAACTTAAAAGAGCTTGCCCTGTTTCAGATCTTTTCATGAGCTTGCTGTTCAGCCATTGTTGTAGTGAAAATTTACCGTGATACAGTGAAACCTGTCTATAGGGAAACAGGTGCCCAACAGTAGTATCTTTAACTTGAGCTTCACGTTAGATGCTTGTAAGGATGCTTAAGACACATCAAGTGAAAATGAAACCTCAAGAAGCAGCGCACGTTCATACGTATATACTGCTGTGAAGGAGGATGGGAAAAAGTGGAGTCTACTAATACTTACATAGCTACACATACTTGTGCACTTATTTGTTGTCCATATAGGATTCACTGATGATGCAAATTCTTGAAGTTCTTAGTCCATAGAAGGAAGTTCATCTTAGATAAAAGTGGTTTGATTCTTTCTTATACATAAATTGCCCTTACAAAGAAACCATAACTGAAATTTTAGCAGAGAAGTTTGAATCCTTATGCAAAGTAGTTAAAAATGTGTTCAGAGATTTGCAAGATTCTTAAGTGTGACATGTGTTTCTCCAGTCCAGAATTAATACAGAATAGCAACACTAGAGCTTGGAGTATGAGCACAAACAAAGGTTCGTTTGCTAAAGCATTTATCGGAAAATTGTAGCCAAAGCTTACTTTGCTTAATTTGAACCAACTCTACTACAGTTGTAAAATAACTGGTGAATATTCCTATACAGCAATCATTTCATTTAGATTTCATGACATTCATTTAACTGCAATATTATACTTGTGTGCTGCACAAAAATGAACTTTCTTCATGGGTTCTGCACTGCTGAAATTGGTTTACCACCAATGAAGTTGGATTATAAATGAGAAAAGCACCAGTTTGTTTGTCTTTTTGCAGTGGTTGATCTCAACCTCCTAAAGGAGGAGGTGCGGCTGTATAGCTGTACTCCTCGCAACTTCTCAGTGTCACTGAGGGAGGAGCTGAAGCGAACTGACACCATCTTCTGGCCATTGTGTCTTCTGGTTAAACGTTGTGGTGGAAACTGTGCCTGTTGTCATCAGAGTTGCAATGAGTGCCAATGTGTACCAACAAAAGTCACCAAAAAATACCATGAGGTACGCGCTTTGTTTACATTTACATGTTTGGAAATACTGAAAGCCAATTAATGAATTCATTTTTACTATAGGAATCCACTTATATTAGTATTTTCACATTTACTGCACTTGTGGTAAATACTTTTTTTTACTATTTTAATGAGGTGTTACATTAAAAAAGCACGGTATCTTCCTTGTTAGAATACTTTTCTGTGGAACTTTTAAGTCATTTTTGAGGTATTTGTTTACTGGTGTAATTCAGACACATCACAACCACAACTCCTTTTTCAGCTTTCCCCAGTGGTAGAAATTTATGAAGGAACAGATATCTGTCCATTCCCATTGTTATAACTCTGTAGCTGGAATTATTTATTATAGAATACTCTAATAATTCCATTGGGTTAACTATACTATTACCCCTTAAATAAAATTAGGTAGAAATATAAAACTGCAATACTCTCTTTGATAATAGCAACTACCTAGTCAACATGTTTTAATCGGTTTTGTAAAGACCTTGAGGTAAAAGCAAAAAAGTGGGTGGAATAAATGAAGAAATTCAGCTGAGGAAGGCCTATTTCTTTTAATATTCTTCCTGTCCTCCAGTTTGTTTCCCATGCAACCTAGCTCATAGTCTTGATGTGTGATGAAGCAATTGCCATTTTCTTGATGCTCAGCTTCTTCTCCTTCAGGTTCTTCAGCTGAAGCCAAGGATTGGCGTCCGGGGATTGCATAAATCATTGACAGATGTACCCTTGGAACACCACGAGGAGTGTGACTGTGTGTGCAGAGGGAATACTGAAGGATAAACGTGGTCTAATTGTGCTGTTTTCTTCCAAAGCACATTCAATCAATGGCTGATTCTATTATGGGGCTTGTGCATTATCTCCTTCTGTAATCTCAGTTGTTTGCTTTGGGGATCTTCCATCTTGAAGATTTACAGTGAGCTCTAAAAAGAGGAGAAGCCAAACTGGGATGATATGTTGTGTGGCAGCTCTGTTTGGAGGCCCAGTGAAAGGATGGGAGAAAGGCATCAATGAGGGATTTAAAATATATGTATTGTTTTTGTTCCCCACAATTTTCTTGACAATACATGGATTTATAATTTAGGAGTAAAAATAAAGTTAGAAGGCTCACATCATGGAGACTTGATCCTGCTGGCTGTCTCGTTTCTACAGCTCCAGTACATCTGGCCTCTGGTTGAAAACACCTGAAATCTTTTTTTCATTATTCAGCTACTCCTATGTACTCCAAATTGAAGCGTTCTCTGTTGTATAAACTTGGGTTAAAACAGACTGTCTTGTTCCAAATTAAACTTAATTTGCCTAATGCTGGTAGGAAGGACTGGATTTTTCCATATGCTCTAGTAAAGTTCCTGCCTTTTAGAAAGAAGACTGGACAATACCATGAGCTAAGGAAGCAAACATTGAAAAGAACAGCGCCTTTATTCTTACTACTATGGCTGATGATCTTTTGTTTGTTTGTTTGTTATTTTTTATCGTGTACATTTTTATACTCTCCTTTTGACAATATAACTATTTGCTTTTCTAAACTTGTTAAATATATCTATTTTTACCAAAGGTATTTAATATTCTTTTTTTATTACAACCTAGATCGACTATTTTTTAGTTTCGTGAGACTTTAAAGCCGGATTTATACAGTTGGAGGGACAGAGATGTGGTTACAATGGGAAAGGAGCATGATCTCTTTACAGTTTGTTGCTACACAGTGAAAAAATACAATTTTTTTACCTGCATGCACAGTAATAAATAAGAGATATGTGGATGAAGCTCTAAGCTTGCTAGCTCCATGACATTGAAAATATGCGAGACAGACGTTGCTGTAAGTGGTTTCAGAAGCTGACTTAAGAGTTCCCTCTCTCCATACTGGCCTTTGTTCAGGTAGAAAAGAAATGAGCATAGATAGATGCATTCTGGCTTGTTTAACTCTTTAATGTCTTTAAAGTAGGATGATCTACCACGTCAGAAAAGAAGCCCAGTGGCTTGCAGCCTTCATGACATATCATGGTCATGGGAAGGCAGCCTTGTTAATGTTGAAGTGTATGGTTTTCCATTGATGGTTATAGCTGTTTAAGTACTGTTCACTCACAGGATCGTAACACTCTTCAGTACAGTTTGATGAACTATGGTTTGGTTCTTCTGTACATTGTATTCTTTAACCAATACACTTATCCCACCCTATGCAAATTGAAAAGGAAACAGTAAAGTATTTTGCTTGTAAAATGCTTTAACATTATGCCTAGTTTATTTTTTTGACTATTGGATTTGCAGATTGTAATGAATCACCAAATAAAGTAATAATGCTAATTTTGGGGAGAACAAATGTTTCTGTGTGGTTGAATATTTGCATCTGTTCAATATACAATAACAGGAAAAGTTAAGAGGGTGATTTTCTACTTACTGTTATGAAAGTCAATTATGAAAGCAAAAGTCTTCTGTTACCAAGGCTTCCACTTGCTTTATTAGTTCTGCTTTCTTGTAAGAAAGAGGGAAAGGAAGAATGTGATTCTATTTGTGTAAACATTCAAAATGGTCAGAATTATGTGAATGTGAAGCCATCAAAATAACATCAGTTATTTTTTTCATTGTGAAAACGAGTTCTGATGAAAATATGAAGGTTTTTCAAGTTGGTATGACTTTCTGGTGTCAGTTCTGGAAATATCTCAAGTGGCTTCTGATTCTATCTTAGCTGGTCTGTTTTGCCCCACCCTCAAACTACTGAATAAGAAAAATATCTAGTGTTAATATGGCATATAATTATCCAATCTGAATATTAACTCTGTATCAGAATGCAGAATTATAAGCCTGGTTTACTTGAATTTTGAGTCTTTGACCAGAATAAAGAGTGTTTTGCAGGGTTGTTGGGGATTTTTTTGTATTAATGTTGTCCTTTTGTTATTTAAAGAGCTTTCAAAAAGGAAATTGAGATAAAAGCAGAAATCATAGCCTCTGGCATCGTGATTCAGAAGAAGAATTGAAAAATGTAGTTCCATTACAGAACTTTCTGTGGGAGGAAATGCAGGTGGTCTCATCACCTCTGTAGACTCACTAGTGGAAGAAGGCATGACATTCATTTTGTTGTAGGTATTTGGTGGCAGCAGAGGAATGGAGAGTTTCTGGAACAGTACAGGTTATGGAGGGTAATGTTTCCCAAAAGCCACAAGTATTTCTTCCATTGCTCTCCTCTGGCTTTCACTCTCTCTCTTACTTGCCAGTTTCTCGCACCAGTTCCCTTCCCAGTTGCTCGCCATAGACATGCATCTGAACTCCTTATCCCTTTGGTCTTTACACTCCCTTCACAGTGCTGTCCCCCTCATCTGATCCAAACCCACCATCCCTCCTGTTTGGCATCCTCTTGCTGAGCATCCTTAAGCTCTTTTCCTCCTTCCTTGGCTCCCTGCTGAAGCTGTGTCTTATACCACTGCCCAGACTTTGTTTTTTACAACCTCACATCTCATGTTCAGGGGATTTAGCACTCCACCTCTTCCATAGCTTAAAAAGTATGGACACGCTGAGTTGTGTTACAGGGCAGGATTTGGGAAAGATACCAATGAGCCTTAAAAGGGTTCTCCTGCTCTGTCCTGGGTGCTCCATCTCGCTGGGTAGAGCAGCTGCCCCTGGCAATGGGTCATTTATGCTGGTGGCTCTGTCTGGAGATCTGCTGAGTTTTCTGTGGCCTTTGCATCCAGAAGAGTCATTTGAAGACGTCCTTCTGACGGCAGACAGAAGCTGCTGTCAGGACACGTAATCGCCTTGGTGACCTCCCGTTGGCGGGAAAGGGTTGAAGTGAGGTAAAAGCATGCAGGACAAGGCAGAGAAGGGTGACAGGGTGCAGGTGGGCTGGGCTAGGGCCAGGCCGGTGGGTGCAAATGCAGCAGAAAAGCACAAGAAACGGTGCTAATGACCACAGGCTTTTAACTCACTGACAGCTCCTAATTGGCTGATGGCTACCTGACGCTTTAGGACTCTCTGTCAGCCCCAGATGCAAGGCTGTCCAGAGCGGGGACAGTCGGAGGGATGAAGCAGGGACTCTGTTGATGAAAACAGCACAGCTCTAGGTTTAATTGGGATACCTTGAGCATTGCCAGTATTTGGTCTTAAACTTTGAAACATATACTTGATGTAAAACTTCAGACTTATACATAATAAATGTAGTAATTATGGTAAGTGCAGTTTTAGCATGAACGGATTATTTCATACTATGATTACAGAAACAATTGCCTAACTTCATCTCATCTAATTTGCTTAAAATTCTCCCATTGAGAGGACTTAATTTCAGCCTCTGGAGAATTTCTTATCCAAAGATGAATTTTTTCAGTCAGGTGTTTCTTGAAGCCTCGAGGTGAGCTGAGGCTTGCTATACCCACCATTACACACAGCACACAGCAAATGCTCCTCTGAGGGTTTTGTTTCATTATTTATTAACGTTCTGTTTCTAAGCAAAAAGTGTGGTAAAAACTAGCTGAAGCTCTCAGCCATGAGTTACTAACAAGCAAACAGCATTGCCTTTCACAGTTACAGGTCATTGCAGCTGAATGACAAGGATGCCACGTGCGTAGAAAAAGATTGACAAAAGTGGGTAGAAAGTCTGTGATTTTCAATGTGTAGCAGAAGTTTCAATCTTACCTCTTTGTGGAGACTTTTTTCTTAAAAAATTGTCACTGTATCTTTTAAGCCACGTGTTGCTGAACTGCCTTAATATAAGCATCAGTGTTTGGGAATAAAGAGGGAAATTACTGTTTCCAGTGGGCCTAAGCAGCGGAAACAGCTGAGTGGAATAAGTAGCTCCTGTAAACCAACGAAATATGAATAGAGTAGACTGCATTTTTTAAGTTTTATTGTATTCCTAATACATGGCTTTGGCTAAAAGTAATTGTTACCCCCAGAGGAATAGGTGGGGAGCTGCTGACTGATGGTGAGCCTTGTTTTTATGGATTATGTAGATATTCACATTCGTGGAACCATCCTGTCAGCTGTGGCCAGCAAGGGAGTGATATGGAGCAGCACCAAAAACTTAGTCACCAAGGGCGTTAACTGAAGATCTTGAACTCCTTTAAGTTTTCTTGTTCTTCGTCTGTCTCGTTGTGCAGGCTCAAAGCTTCTTTTCAGC